TTTTTGAAATTCCGGGCAGAATTGTGAATCATGATGTTGGGCTGTTTTTGACAATGTTAATGTGACTATGTGAAAATATGATCAACATGAAACTGTAGTACATGTTATAAGATTTCTCTGGAAATTGAAATCTTGCAATTTGGTGTTTTATTTGATTACATATGATTTTTCGAAGTTGGAGTTATGCCCAGAATTTTTAAAACAGTGGCTGTATTTACGATTGAGATGTATGCTCTGATATGAGGCCCCTAACGTGATTATTTGTAAAAATGCCCTTCTTGAAACTTGTAGCTTTTCTAGTTTAATTTTTGTAAGTCTTTAGATTGTTTGATTTAGAGTATTATAGCATGAGATATCGCTGATTTAGTAAACTGCTGCGAATCATTTTAAAAATTTGTGTAACGGGCATTACTTAATCTATCTCAATTTCGACTGACATTACAAAAGCTATTATTTCTATCAAGACATTCAGAACATAAATAAATGTTTTAAAAATAAACACGTTTCACTTAATCAATCTGTAATTCAAACGTTCAAATTTGAATACAAATTTCAATAAAGTTTACAGAAAATATAAATATAACTAAAGACAACCACGCCCGTCCTCTCGTGTCCGCCGCCAGCTCGATCAACCTGAAAAACAAAAGGGTGAGCACCGTCTCTCGGCTCAGTGGTAAAATTCATACTATGCATCGATTCAATATAAACATAGATAGGATAATAATTATATAAACATGCAAAGCTTACTGTCTCACAACTGACTGATATCATCCCGGCTTCAAGCCTCCAAGTAAATTCGGACTAGTGACTCTTATTTCAAGCCTCCATAATTTACCCAGCTAATTAGCTATTATACGCCGTTAACCTATGTTCATGAACGTCGGTATGGTTACTTACTAGTGCATTCGGCATCAACCGATCCCGCTAATAAATAACTCTACTAGTGCCATTGGCATTACCCAGTCCCGCTAGTAGATAACTTAACTGATAATTTCCCGGCCTAGTGACTCTTATTTCAAGCCGCCATGGTAAAAGTTCACATCACACATTAGGCCCACCGGCCCACAATCACATGCATATGAAAACTATACTACCGCATGTTTATAAAGAATAAACTATAGTATAGAACCCCCACCTGATAATTGATGATGTGAAAAAAAAGTGCAGATGAAGAGTAGCTGACGACACTCGAAACAATTCTCGAGATTCGACTCCTCGAAATCTACGATTTAAATATTTTTAACTTATTAATAAGGGCAGACAAACAAACAGAAAAAGACAGACAAAGACAGACAAAAACAAGCAACGACAATTAAACATATAAGGCAGACAAATCACACAAAGCATGTAAATAATTCTAATAGTAAATAAATCTGATAAAACTTTTGGCTTGACTGGACTCGAACCAAGCTATAAGTTAACAATTTAACATGCTCTCTTTCTCTTCTCTTTTGCACTTTTTCAACCCCATCTTAAGACCATACTAATTGAGCAATTACTATTCACACTAAAATAAAATATCCTAAACATGTTTCTGGCTTTTAAATAAAAACTGAATCTTAGACATAACATCCACATACACTCGGCCCAAAAGAGGGTACAGGCCTAGCAAAATAAACACAACAAGCTTCTTCTTGCCTAAACTTTTAGGAATTCTCAAATGCTCAAATCTCCTAATTGAAGACTGAAACTCTTTTGCACTGAAATCAAGCCTTAAACTCAGCATATAATACATCACTTTCAGTAAGAAAAGAAAAGCACTAAATCTAGGGTTTATACACCATGCACAAAAACAGGAAGTCAACAAGGCTTAACTCAACAATATGCATTCTCTTTTCTCAATAAAGCCAAAGCATGCTAAACTAATTATTTAAGGCTAAAACCTTAACTTTTTAAAACACTCATTGATGGCACCACAATGATGTTTTAAAGTCCCAGTAATATGCAGCAAATAATAACATTCAAGCTTTTTTTTTGCTCACAGTTTACTACCAAACAACATGGACTGAACTAAGCATTTATAAGACATTAAAACTAAATATTTAGTCTCTGATACATCACCAACT